ACTTATTTTACTATTTAATAGAGGAGAACCAGCTTTTTTCTTAAAGATTTACTTAAGTCACTGAACTAAAAGACACCTGGGTTAATTAGTATATAATTTATATGAGTACTCATTTATTGAAGCCAATCTGAATAGAATTTCTTAAGGGGTTTTTGGCCAACTCTGCCAATACATTTACATATGTATAAATATAGCTGTACATACGCAGCCATACTCAAAGGCCTTAGAGCTTTCATTTTGGAATTTTAATTATAAAGTAGTAATACAAACTCACTGGTTTATAAACCAAATTATATTTCTGACAAAATTGGGACCTATTCATTTGGCTAAACTTTAACTCCTATATATAATTAAGACTGTGGACCAAAATTTGGGGTAAAGTGGTCTCCATAGTAATTTGATTTTTTCAAATCCTCTTTTACTCTTTTTTTCCTTTTAAGGGTTACATTTTCAATGTTTAGCTAGGACTGGCAGCAATTGTTTAAGAAAAACAAAATATCCAAGTAACCTTCAGTTTATCTTTTGTTTGTTGGTCTGGTTTGCTTGACTAGTCAGTGTGGGTAGAGAGACATTTTAGCAGGGTTTTCTTCTAGCTTTTTTTTTTTTTTTTTGGCTCCCGCATGGCAAAAAAAAGCAAAATTTTTATGCCAAACAAAGAGATCTTATATTATTGCTCTGAGCTCAATATTTTGACCTGTTTAACCTCAGAGCCTAACCTGTATAAATATTTATCTAGTTCTTTTTTTTTTTCTCTAAGATTATCTTTCAATTTAACTATTCTGTCATCCTAAGCAACTGTTGGTCAGGCAAACTCAAGTTCGCCTTTCCAAAAGGTGTCTAGATTACTAGTTACCATGGAACTGCTGTAATTTTTGAAGTGATTAACTTAAAGCCCTTTAAGACTTCTAAAAAATCTTGACCAGAATGCCATAAGCAGTGAGTTTTATCTCAACACCATAGAAAAGTCAGCAGATTTAAAGTAGACAGAAAAAAATTAAAAAAAAAAGAGCTAGAGAACATGGAAGTCTTTACATATTAACTCTGTAGTTACACAGTGTTTTAATTTGAATAATGGCCATTTGTGCTCTGAATTTTCCTTGATGTAATTTGCTTAGCAGTTTAAACTGTGAGAGCAGGCCATAGCCTGTTGGATTCCAATAAACCTGGCATCCCTTAATTAATATTTGAGAATACCATTCCATTTTTTTCTTAATATATTAAGAGTAAAGAAAATCCTATAAACCTGTTGGAGAATTTCAAGAGGTTGGACCAGTGATTTAGATAATAGTGACCGCATTAGACTAGTCATATGTCTAATGAGTCATTCTGCACCCACCATTTAGAATTTTATTTTGCTGTTAGAAGATTTTCATAAACACACAGGGAAAAGAGCCAGATCATGTACAGACACACAACCAAATCAAAAGAAACCGAGATAAAAATGTTCACATAAATTTTAACCCAAGATGCAGATCAAGTAAAATATTAAATTAGGCACACAGAAAACCAAAAGTAAATTCCCCAGAAAAGACATGTCTAACAGACAGAATGTAAATTCCATAGAAAGTAGGGTCCTCAAACCACAAAGAAATTTGTCTTTACACCAGGAAAGACTTGCCAGAAAAGACAAAAGGTCTTCTGTCATCCCAGGTGAGATGTAAGGTCTTTTATTTACCAGACACAGAATAAAGTCGAGAGGTTCTGCTTGATTTTAGAGAGTCTTGGCCTGACAAAAGGTGTGCTGTGGAAGCAGAGAACTCCAGGGGCTTGAGTAAGTACTGCACACCAGTTCTCAGTATCGTCAACTGTCTGAAAGTAATCCTATTCCATGTCCTACCTCTGGATACTGTTAATGTCAACTTAAATAACAAACAGAGAGAGGCTCTCTAAAAGAAAATAATGCTTATTTGGGAATAGGTTATTGCAGCAGGAATCTACAAATCATAGTAAATTGTTTGCAAATCCAGGAAAGTAAAGGAAGACAATGGGTGTTAAAGAAAAAATGAGGAAGGTTACATAATTGTTTTGAAATAATTATCCTTGGCTACAAGGATCCCGTTGAAGGGTGGTGCCAGCCTGAGGTTAGACAAGTAGTTGCTGGGCAGATGTCCTCAGATAAGTTTTGTTATGTTTTGTTTTGTTTTTTTGGTAAGGTTGCAGTGGCCTTTCTGCAGAGTTGTGGTTTTTGCAGAGTCTTATGTGATAGTTTTGTTATTAGGTATACAAGCATGAGAATACTTCCTTCATTCCTGGCTGTATTTGTCAGGGTTTTTTTTTTTTAAATACCGTGATGCCATTTTGATTCTGACAGCTTTCACAGTTTAAACATTGTTTCTTGATCTATTCTTCATCTTTTTCTCCCCTTATAATTTTTAATCTAATAAAACTTTTTTAAAATATACTTTTTCATTTTCCACAAAGTGGATTTTGCTAGTTTGGATTTTGCTGATTCCATTCCCCATGGTGGAGTTGAACATGTTTTTCTATTTTATATAAATTAATAATTAGAGCTATAGGTGTGATCAGATTCAGATTATTTCCCACCCATCCCCACCCCTATTCTTTTTTTTTTTTTTTTGCTGTTGCTGCTGCAGGAATAGTTCATAATACATATACTTCTAATAAGAGACACTCACTCCCTATTTCCTTCCATGTCATCCTAGTTTGTTTCCTTTTCTTTCTTTCCTTCCTTTCTCTCTCATCTCTTCTTTTTCTCTTCCTCTTTCCCTCCCTCCCTTCCATTTTTTCTTTCTTCCATTCATCTGTCATTCCTTCCTCTTTCCCTCCTTCCTCTCCTCCTTCCAACAGCCAATGCTTCATTATTACCTTTTCATCCTACATGTGGCTAAGGAAGACAGATGATTTCTTAAACTGATGGTCCTTCTCTCCCAAATTAGCAAGGATTTGGGAGAGCAGGGATCCTCTAAGTTTTAAGACATCCCCCCCAAAATTCTTCACTTGTGTTCTCCATTTTATACCCTGGCACTTGAAGTTTCCTTCCTGTAGTCTGAAGACTTCTTAAAGTGTACAGCCTCATCTCATTCTCCATTCTCTTCCTAGTGCCTATGATAATTCCAAACACACAGTAGGCATATTGAGCTGTATCAACTGTGTCGGTTAGGTCCTGGCATACTGAATGGAATTTTAATGAAGTATTTCAAAGGTATGTGCAGGGTTAGGAGAAACCAACAAGAAATGATAAGGTGCTAAACCAGCAACAGAGCCATCTGGTACTCAGAGGTGCCAGGACAAGAGAGGGAACAAACCTAGAGGGCTATAGGGGTGAACAGCATTCCTGGAGCTGTAGCCTTAGGTGCAGGAACACTCTAGCCACTGTCAACCTGTGGCTCAGCAGGAAAAAGACAAGAAAATACATGCACACTAACCTTATTTTCTCCTACCCACCTATCTGCTGATACTTCTAATTCACTGAACTGAACTAGAGGCCAGTCCATAAAAGTCAGCCTCCCAGAATTCAGGAAAAAGTGAGGGGTAAAGAATGGATCTGGAAAAGCAGATATAGAAACTGTAGTACAATGGGCAGAATCTTCCCTGGAGTGTAACAGTTATTACAGTTTCCCAGGAGGCTAAATTTTGTTTTGTTGGGCTTGGACAGTGATTAAGGGAGGCAGGAGATGAGAGGAAAGAGTTGGGCCCAAATATATTAAAGCAGTCCATAAATCCCCTCCACTCAAATCTTTCTGCAGCTACTCAGTGCCCTTCAGTGACTTTTATATGACTTCAGGTCTGCCTTTAGTGTTAATTTTAATCTGATTTACCGATATTCCAGGAAGGGGTAAGCAGTATTCCGTTGATCTGCCCCAGACCCAGCCTTTTAATTAAGAGATTATTCTGACTGACATCAACCAGACTTGAGTTTAAAAGTCTATCTTGTTTTGAAAGTCTGAAAAAAGTCTAATTTTTTCTTGGTTTCAACTGACTTGATCATTGATTCTCAAACATACAGAGTGTATATTTAGGGGATATTTGATGTCGGTTAATCTAGAGGCTTTAAGTAAGGGATTATGTCTCCAACCAATTAAAGATGTAGTTTTAAACCAAAGATGCTTATGAAAAATCACTTGTGGATTATACCCACTAGAATGACTATAATTTAAAAAGAGACAAATAATAACAAGTTTTAATGAGGATGTGGAAAACCTGGAACCCTCATACACTGCTGGTGTGAGTGTAAAATAGTATCACTACAGTGAAAAATAGTCTGACAGTTCCTCAGATGGTTAAAGGTAGAGTTATTGCATAACTCAGCAACTGCATTTTTAGGAATAGAATCAAGAAAAATAAAAGCATATATTCATACAAATGTTTATATGCAAATGTTCATAGGAGTATTATTCATAACAGCCAAAAAGCAGAAACAACCCAAGTGTTTGTCAGTTGATGAATGGAAAAATAAAATGTAGTATATTCATACAATGGAATAAAAGAAATTTGAATAAAAAGCAATTAAATGAAATACTGGTATGTTACAACATGGATGAATCTTGAAAAATGCTAAGTGGGAAAGTCTCTCACAAAGGACCACATGTATATGAAATATTCAGAATAGGCCTATCTATAGAGAGGGAAAATAGATTAGTGGTTGCCAAGGGGTGGGAATTTGTGGGGTGATAGTTAAAGAAAAACTTTCTTTTGTGGGTAGTGAAAATGTTCTAATTCTGTGATGATGGATGTACAACTCTGAATATACTAAAAACCACTGAATTGTATATACTTTAATTCAAAGAATTATATGAGAATTGTGTTCAATAGAGCTATTTTATTTTTATCACTTGTGGAGCTTTGTGAAAATACAGCTAGTGAAACCCAGCTTTGACTTCCTGAATTTGTTTTTATAAGTGATTGAATGTGTACTCTAATATAAGAACTATTGAATTACAGCTATTTTTAACCTTTCGAGAAGAGTCTCCATGATAGTAATGAAGACCCTTGCTTTCTCTGGCATAAAATATGTTGCTTTTTTTATTTCTTTAATTCAGTCTCTGTAGAGACTCAAACATTGCCAGTGCTTACTATACTTCAAGTCGTCATGGTGGGCTATTGGGAAAAGTTTTCAATTAGCAATAATCGTGCCTCAGATAAACCTCATTGGCTACGATATTGCCACTGTACAAAGCTAATATGTTGCTCTTCTAGAGAACATGGGATATAGTATATCTCATACTTAATTACTGTGAATTGCATATAAGTTTTTTTTTAAATCACCAGGTTGTTGCCTAGAATATGCTACCATGTTGGATAAAGAAGCCAAACCATACAAAGTTGACCCTTTTGTAATTATCATTAAGTTTCTGTTGGGGTAAGTTTTGTTATCTGTGATAATGATTTTAATTGTGTTTTACATAATATTATATTTGGTTCCATAATGCAATATAAATTTTCATACAGACTTGGTAGTTGACTTGTTTCATTAAATGGGATTTTTTTTCTCTTAGGCAAAGGCCTAATAAGTATATCAATGTTTACTTCAATAGTATGATCATTTCAAAAGTAATTATTCACTCTATATATATCAGTCCATACTTAGACTGCCTTTAATGTTTGCAAATAGGTCCATGATCTGTGAGTCCATGATCTGTGAGTATTCTATATTTAAACATAAATCATTACAGGGTATTGATGAAACAGTGCGTCTCTGATCATTTTTAAAAGTATATTTTAGACCTCTCTTCCCTAATTGGCATTCCATTCTTAATTTAGTCACATTTTATGTTTTTTGGTTAAGCATCAATATGTAGATCTCTTTTTGCCCTCATTACAACTAACTTGGCTTTCTAAAAAAAAAAAAGAGAGAGCATATTACTTTTTATAAGAATCAATAGAGAGTAGTAAAGCTATATTGAAACTCAGATCTTCAAATATCAGTAGGCTCACGTGGAAAATGAATAACTTGTTCCAGACAAAGAATTAAAAATTTGTTTTTCAGTATAATTATCAATTAAGTATCGTGGAACTTTAGAGACTCTCTTGAATGGTCAGTCACCTCAAATATTAAGTCCTTAAATTTCAGTTGTTGGGTTTTTTGCTTTTATATTTTCTTTTCTCCACAGGTATAAATGGTTTAAAGAATTATGGGATGTATTATTGTTACCAGAATTAGATGCCATCGTTTTAACTAGTCAGAGTATGTGTTTCCCCCTGGTATCCTTGATTCTCTTTCTTTTTGGAACGTGTACTGCCTACTGGAGTGGCCTGCTCTCTTCTGCATGTGTGAGACTTCTTTCTTCATTGTGGCTTGCTTTGAAAAGGTAAACAATGAATGATTAACAGCTTTCTTATTGCTTTAATTAAGCAAAATGTATATATTCTGATAAGAAACCTGAAATTAATTATTTTGACTAAACTATTTTCTATGGAAAAATATATCACTAGCAAAAGTATGGGTTAGTGTTCAAAGTTATATCTGTGAAAGGTAATCATTTATTACAAGTTAAATGGTACCTTTAATTTTAACCTTAGTGTTCAAGAGTTAATAAAAAAATGTTTGGCAAGTTATGCGGATAGTTTTAAATGTCATGGTTGTTAATCTTTCCCAGGAGGGATTGTTTCTCCCATGGTGTTGCTTTTATATGCTGAATTCTATAATGAAACCAGGGGGCAAGAGACTGTAATCCAGATGTTAGGCTCAGATTAGATGAGATGTATAAAAGCTCCAAAAACATCGCCTAGAGTTTTATTATGGGCCCAATGACACAGTTTGAATCTGAAGTTACTGGTAGGCTTTCCTAGATCATCAATTTAGTGCCTATTGCCACTCCTCTTTACCAGACATGTCATGTGATTTCCTGTCCCAGAGGGGATTATGGTGTGGTGCTTCTTCCTCCACCCTTCTGAGATGCTTCAGATAGCGGTTCTGTTAGTAACACCACCAAGGGTCTGAGCAGTCTCTAGGCTTTAAGAAATAGAACATAGCTTCTCCTCCTGTCAAGACTGAAGATGTATGCCACAGGGTGTATAATTAATGGTTATCTTTGGTAACATTTTTTCACCTGTAGAACAAGTATCAGCTATAGAGTATCAAAATGGTAGACAAGTTATCACAATATATTACAGAACTGAAAATCAAATATTTGAGACCACTTCCCTTTATTTAAAAAATACCTTACTGTTTACCTTATGTATTTACATATAAGCAAGAGAGACTGGAAAGGAACTATATTGTTTTCTTCTTATATATGACTACATAAATATCTGTTAATGTGTATTTTAAACTTTATTCTTATAATTCCAGACCCTCTGAACTTCCTAAAGATATCAAGATGATATCACCAGACTTGCCTTTTTTGACAATTGTTTTAATCATAGTTAGTTGGACAACTTGTGGAGCACTTGCCATACTTCTTTCTTATCTTTACTATGTGTTTAAGGTATGTCAAATCAGTAAAGCAAAAATGATTGGTTTGTATTAGGCACATGTAAGATGTACTGTAGGCATCATTAACAAAAATTCTCATTAACACGGTAATAACCTGTTACATAGCAGGTTTGAATGTAAAGATTTTAAAAAACATCTTAGTTATTTAAATTACATACAACTAACTGGAAAACAGAAATTATTGATCTCAGTTGTGGTTTTTTTTTGTTGTTGTTAAAAAGGAAAAGGAAAGGGGGAAGATATCATCTGTATCTGCTTGCTTCTTAGTCTTGCAAGTGTTAACTTTTTGTTTTACATTTTATATTATAAAATGGTTTATAGTCACACTCTTTTTGAACATGGGTAAGAGACGAAAGAAAAAGTAAATTTATATCAGTAGGATCAAGCTATTAATCATGCAGAGATAATCTAAAATGTTACAAATGTCGCTGAAGAATTAGACGATGACAATAAAAATAATTAGGCTAATAATTTTACTGAAGAAGCAGAAAACACTTCTGATAAAGCTGACAGCTTTGCAAAAAAAAAAAAATCTAGGAGGTGATACAGATGCATTCTCTCCATGAAATTCTTAGGAATAGATGGTTGACATCAGAGTAGATAATGCTTTTTTTTCCCGAAAAAGGAAATTTTTTAAGATGTAAACTAAATACATGCATATCATAGATTATTTTCAGTTTTCCAAAGGAAATTTATATGCTTCTGAAAATTATTTATGGCTACTTTGATTTATAATGATTTTAGTATTTTTTAAAGTAGGTATTTCAAGCCACTGACCCACTAAGCAAAGGTTTCTTAAATACTTAAGTAACCCTAATAAATTAAATTTAAAGATTTTTTTTCCAGTTCTTATAAACATTTCACCACTCTATATAATTGAGTTCTGTTTTTTAAAGACTTAAAATATTTAAAATGTATTACATTCTTTTACTGTATTGAAGATAATGAAATCTTTGACTTACAAGAGACATTAAGTTGCCGTAACAAAGCATCATTCAAACATAGGCTTTTACAGGCTATAAAAGGTATAGGAGTATATCCTCTTCCCACTATACTCCGGAAGCTTTGTTGTTTTATTTCTGTTTCCGTTTGTTTGTTTGTTTTTTCCCATGATAGCCAGCATGTGTAGTTGTTGTTTTGTATAAGAATGTTTTTAAATGACCTTTTTGGTTCACATTTTAAAAATTTCAGATTACAGTGCTTCTCATTTTTAATGCCAAAGGTTTATACTTTTTGTTTCAAAATAAGGGTGAAATTAAACAGTGATTTTTTTTCAGATTGTTCATCTGCAAGCCAGCTTAACAACTTTTAAAAATAACCAGCCTGTGGTAAGTTTTATTTTCAAAAGTCTACATAACTTTAAAATGAAAGAACATGGGGAGATAGGAGTTTATCTATTTTTAAGGTTAGGATTTCATAGTGTTTAAAAGATACAGTATTATGAATTTAAGTAAAGTGAACTTAATGGATATTTTAAAAGATTTATAAATTCATCTTCCTCAGTACCTGTGTCATTTTTTACAAGTTATTATCTATTAAATTTTATTTTGAATAATTACTTAGAGGATATATATTCTCAGGAGTATAACTAGCAAGTCAAAAGAATAAAAGTTTTATAACTATTTTAAAGTATTTTTAAGCAAAATAATTTCAAGATTTTATGTCAGTTTGGTAATGGAAAGATGTATTTATTTAGTTATGTAGTAATGAGTATGATTCTAAATAAAGTATACTTTCGTTTAGTTAGAATTTTGGTATTTTTACTTTATTGTTTTATAGAATCCCAAACACTCCAGAAGAAGTGAAAAAAAATCCAATCACCATAAAGACTCCTCAGTACACCACCTTCGTTTATCTGCCAACGATGCTGAAGATAGCCTTCGCATGCACAGTACTGTGATTAACTTATTAACATGGATTGTATTACTCAGCATGCCTTCTCTAATTTATTGGCTAAAGAATCTTAGGTGTGTTTTATTTATATAATTAGTGTTTATGTGGTTCAAACAATAAATATCCCTAAGCAGAGCCTTGCTGGATTCCTAATGGTTCATGAAAATTCCTCAGGAACAGGAAGCTACATATTACCTGAAATTAATTAATTAATTTTATTTTATTTTATTTATTTATTTTTTTGAGATGGAGTTTCGCTCGTTACCCAGGGTGGAGTGCAATGGCGCGATCTCGGCTCACTGCAACCTCCGCTTCCTGGGTTCAGACAATTCTCCTGCCTCAGCCTCCTGAGTAGCTGGGATTACAGGCATGCACCACCATGCCCAGCTAATTTTTTGTATTTTTTTTTTTTTTTTCTGAGACAGAGTTTCGCTCTTGTTATCCAGGCTGGAGTGCAATGGTGCGATCTTGGCTCACCACAACCTCCGCAGCCTGGGTTCAAGCAATTCTCCCGCCTCAGCCTCCTGAGTAGCTGGGATTACAGGCACGCACCACCATGCCCAGCTAATTTTTTGTATTTTTAGTAGAGACGGGGTTTCACCATGTTGACTAGGATGGTCTCAATCTCTTGACCTCATGATCCACCCGCCTTGGCCTCCCAAAGTGCTGGGATTACAGGCTTGAGCCACCGTATTTTATTTTATTTTATTTTTTTGAGACAGAGTCTCGCCCTGTTACCCAGGCTGGACTGGAGTGGTGCAATCTTAGCTCACTGCAACTTCTGCCTCCTAGGTTCAAGCAATTTATTTTTAACACATTCACATTTCCTCTCTTGCTATGTATATATAAACTTTGGGAATATAAATTTTCAAAAAATCAGCCCAAAAGGGTGAATCATATTTTTATTCATTGGTCAATGGCTAAATAAAAGGCCACTTCATCCAAGTAGTAGATGAACCCCTACTCAATATAGTTTTCAAAAATAATATAAAGCTTTCAAATTGTCTAAATACTGGGAATTTTTTTAAGTTGGTGGAATCAAAATAAGTTCAAATTAAATCAAAGGTTACCAGATTTTAATATCCTTCTTTTGTTCCTTAATTTAGTCAATATCCAGATTTTCGTTCACAGACTTGCTGTCAGAATTATTTGAGGAGCACAATTTTTTTTTTTTTTTTTTGAGACAGAGTCTCGCTCTGTAGCCCAAGCTGGAGTGCAGTGGCATCATCTCGGCTCACTGCAACCTCCGCTTCCCAGGTCCTGGTTCAAGCATTCTCCTGCCTCAGCCTGAGTAGCTGGGATTACTGGAGCACACCACCATGCCCAGCCAATTTTTATATTTTAAGTAGAGACAGAATTTCACCATGTTGGCCAGGCTGGTCTTGAACTCCTGACCTCATGATCTGCCCACCTCAGCCTTTCAAAGTGCTGGGATTACAAGTGTGAGCCACTGTGCCCTGCTGAGGAGCACAAATTTTTTATTCTGAAAGGCTATAGACATCTTATAGTCAATGAATGAGAGAAATTAATTGGATTTTTAAAAAAGATAAGGGACAATTAACTTTATGAGCCTTCATTTTATCTTTTTTGTTAGAGTATCACTCATGTATTTTAAGTAATTTGTTTTTTAAAAAAACTTTACATGTGCCCTTTTAAACATATACTGCTTATAAAAAGGAAGTGCTTTTATACTGGATATTTTTATTTCCTTTAGTAGTTTCTGGATATTTTTATTTCCTTTAGTAGTTTCTGATCATAATTCTCTTTATAAAACCATGGATACAAAGATCATATAGAGCAAAAATTACTTATCAGATATTTCATGAACTGTGTAGAGTTCTCTTATATCCATATTGCTACTCTAATGTTTTTAATGATATTTATTTTATTGACTCTGATAATTTAAAATAATTAGGTCATTGTTGATTTGTGTGTGTGTTTTTTTAATATTATAGGTATTATTTTAAACTTAATCCTGATCCATGTAAACCTTTGGCATTTATCCTTATTCCAACTATGGCAATTCTTGGAAATACTTACACTGTTTCAATAAAATCAAGGTACAGTAGTTTAATCTTCCTTTTTCTCATATCTGTTCTTTTCCTTTTTCACCCTTTATGTCTAAAGCATACTTTTTATTTCTAATTTATTTGACTATTCCTAAAAGTAAAGCTGCAACAGTATTATGGTTTACATGCAAGTATATTATATTTGCTTTCTTAATTATAGGTTTTACTTGATAACATATAATACAGTATTTTTCTTTATGAAGTTAACCCTTAAAAGACGTGATATCTAAGATTTACTTCCCAAAAGTATAAGAGAAGTGGATGGGGATATAGCTGAAATAAAATTGGCTATGATTTGATAATTTTTGAGGCTGGGTAATGGTTGCATGAAGGTTTATTACACTGTTAGTGTAATACTAACAACTACTTTTGTAGTTTCAAATTTTCCATAATAAAACTTGAGTTTTCATTCACTTGTTTGCCCTGGGAGTCTTTTCAGTTGATTCTGACAGATATTTGTAGATACTCTAGAATCAGGCTTACCTGGAGTTTAAATCCTGGATGTGCCATTTAATAGCTCTGTCTTTAGCCAGATTTCTTAACCCCTCTTATTCTCAGTTTCTCTATTTTCAGAGTAAAAAGGTAATCGTCTTTCCTGATAGTATTTTTCTTTTAGAGATAGTATCTTCTATACTCCTTGTTTTGGGAATTTAAGATGGTTCTTTTTTTGTTTGGTTGGTCTTTTTCTCTTACAAGTAGGGTTAAAATAAACATTTCTGTAGCTATGTCTTATTGAACATTATTGATTATTTTTGTTAGGATAAGTTTCTAGAGGTGTAATTACTAAATAAAAGTCTAATATTTTTCTATTTTTAAAATTAGACTAAATGAAACTGGCTATTTTTTAAATAGCAATATTTTTCTTTTGTAGCCACATATAGCTTGTATTGATCTTTTTAAAAATTATAAATAGGCAAATTTATAACATAAAAAATTCATTTAAAATTACTTGGAATATCCCAAAACTGTATAAAAGATTGCTATATTCCATTTTGGCTCACAATGTGGTTCACATAAGTGATGTATGTTTCTCTGTCTCTTTACAGTAAATTGTTGAAGACTGCTTCACAATTTCCACTTCCTCTGGCTGTTGGTGTGATTGCTTTTGGGTCAGCACATTTATATAGGGTTCCATGCTTTGTCTTCATTCCTCTTTTACTCCATGCATTATGCAATTTTATGTAAGATTGGACTCAAGGAATGATGAAGATGATTTATGCAGTTAGGGCCAGTGATAAGAGGGAACACACAGATCCATCAGTATGGACAGCAAGATCCGTTGGAGAAGACAAGTCTATTTTTACAATATTGAAAATAGGAAGTTAGTTTTGTAATGTTTGAGGGAAGTAGTTGAAGCATGGTTTTGTTTGGTAGTATGGAATCCATGTACTAACTGTTTTTGAAAATGTATGAAGGGATATATGGTGATCACTGTCACTGATGACTGCTGTGCATATCAGATAGTCTGTTTCATCAACCATACAAGAAGTCTGATCTTAGAGATTTAGTAGATGCAGCATTGTTTATAATCTCACCTCAAGCATTTTGCTCATTTCATCAAACTTTTTTCACAAAGGAGGCGATTTTGAATTTGCTATAGTTTACCTATTAAGAAATAAGTCTTTGAATAATTGATGAAATGTAATGAAATGTACAGCTGTTTGGTTTCTCAAAGGTTAAATAGCCACAAAAAGCCTTTGGCTAGTTTTTGGCAGCCACCATGAACAAAGTGGATCTTGTCTTCTTACACCTATGAAAATAGAGCTTTGAATAAATGGTAAGGAGACTTGTTTTCTTGGTAACCATTGCAAGATTGATGGATGGAAACATGATTCAAACTTAAACAAATTTTCGTGCTGTTTTTCAAATATGAATTTTATTGTCTATTCTTGGAGAATATCAGGAGACTATTAAAGAGGTCTGTTAAATTTAAAGAAAAAGTGCTCATAGCTATTTGCTTCCTGGATTGGAGCAGTTCAGTTGTTTAGTCTATACCATTGGATTTAATTTATTGCCCCATGGTTGCCAAAAGTGCCTAAGGTAATAATGGATTGTTAAAATAACTAAGTTCCAATGGTTAGAAACTCTAGATTTATACCATTTTTTCTACTTGGGAAAAAGAACAACATGATCAAGGTAATGCCACATTTGATGTATAATATTATACTATTAATGCGTTAACAGTGGACAACTTGACAACGGTGGACAACCGTCATTAGTAGCATGAGTATAAACAGTACATCTGAATAAATTGGAGACATTAGCCACTAGGTTTAACAGTGGAATCTTGATTTGCCTATGTGACTTTTGGGATTACTGTTTGACAAATAAAAGAGTAACATTTTATTTCATTTCAGAATTTACTTCACTTTTAGCTACAAGAGTAGGAAGAAGGTAATCCAGTAAGGCAGAAGAGTATATTCTTTGCCTTAGGATAGCGTAAATTCGGACTGAGACGTACCTGGCTGACAGAATTCTTTTAGATGTGTAGGCTATAAATGCCCAAAGCCTCTCAACTAAAGATTCCACAAAACCTCTCATGTAAATTTCCAGTGATTCCACCATTGCACTTAGGAACACACATCCTTGTTAGTACCCATGGATGTCCTCAAGTGCCAGTTTCATTTTATCTGCTCTTGCATCTGGATTCCATTATAGCCTCTCAGCTGTTACTGCCTGTGGATGGTTACTTCTACTTCACTGCCTGTAGAGAGTTACATAACTTCTCTTCTCAGTTCTCCCTCAGATCCTGGCTATTTTGGTCTCAGTTGAAGAGGCTCTTGCTGTCACCTTTGAAGGTTGTAAGTTAGTTTGATCCCATTGTCGTCTTTTCCAGCTTTGTGCCTCTTGTTCAATATTCATATTTTCACTTGGTACATTAAAGGGAAATGATAAACTCATGGTGGGGATATGGCAGGCATACTAGGTGCTTGTTTGTTTGAGATAAGTAGTAGAAGGGATAAAACACAAAGTGCTATATGTTTTAGCTGGAGAGGAAAGAGAGCATTTATTAGATTATATACTTGTCCTATGGCATACCACATATATATTTAAATAGGGATACATCTGCCTATGTTTAGCTATACTTATAGACAACTTTGATACATGTTGCATCTTTTGTTCTGTCACTTGATATTTTAGTGTATCTCCAGTTACAGATTAAATATGTCCTTTATTTCTGAATTTGGACTTAGTTCCGTATACAGAAAGAACGTTAGAGAATTCATTAATTTGAATCTTCTATTGATAGCCATAAACATTATGTTTATGTGATCTAAAATCTCTTTGTTTAGTTAGTACTGTTCATGAATGTAACAAGTTTAAGTTTCTCATTTGTGATAGTACATTTACCTTTATTTTGAGACAGAGTCTCACTTTCGCCAGGCTGGAATGCAGTGGTGTGATTTCAGCTCACTGCAACCTCCGCCTCCTGGATTCAAGTAATTTCTCTGCCTCAGCCTCCCGAGTAGCTGGGACTACAGATGCCTGCCACCACAACCAGCTAATTTTTTTTTTCTTTTTTTTTTTTTAAGTAGAGACAGGGTTTCTCTGTGTTGGTCAGGCTGGTCTCCAACTCCTGACCTCGTGATCTGCCTCCTTGGCCTCCCAAAATGCTGGGATTACAGGCGTGAGTGTCCATGCCTGGCCATACATTTACTTTGTAAAGCAGCAGACTAGGTACACTAATTCTCACTGAAATATTTTCATGTGAATGTAGTATTACCAAGTCCTAAAGTCTTATTTATGCCAAAAAATTCATTTTAAGTGCTACAAAAAGGATTCTAATTAAACATTTTATAAACAATATTAGTTTGGGTCTTTAGCCATTATATATGTATATATACAGACACATATGTATACACTTACATTTTGACAGGGTCTTCATTGAGTCCTGATGCACTTTAAAGTAAATTGCTACCAGAGATGTGAAGGTAGGCTCTTTGAAGATTCGCAAAATGGCTGTTTTTACTTGAGAAAAGGAAAGCCCTTTGACCTTAAATTACACAGTTTCCATCATGGTTACAATCTATATATTTGGCTAGTAAAACAGCACTACCCTATTAGCAATGTTAATAAAAATGAAATTATTTATTGGCATTTATAGATTATCCGGTTCAGGAAATTTCCTGAGGTCAACTGTTACCGCAGCTGTTAATGGCTTTCTAATTTAGCAATTATTGAGTTGCGAGTAAATTTTGTGCTTATAAAATAACTCCTAGACCCTATTGTTAATAACCAGATCAAATATAAACAGTACAGGGAAAAACACTGGATACATTCAGTGTTTCTAAAGTCTCCTTTGGAGTTACTACTGATTGTAATTTGGAACTGATAATAGGTAGAGATTGTTTACACTACTTTTTTCCTGGATCTTTTTTATGCCAGAAATTAAACAGGTTCTGCTTTTTTTTCCTAGTTATCACCAGAATGAAAATATTTAAAGTGGTGACTCTAGAAAAGCCATTAGTCCCTGGTTAACACTGATTTTGAGTCTTTTCAACATATATTGATCATGTATTGATTAGTCTTTATTTTTTTCATACTTTGGCTAAACAAATTCAGATCTACATAATGGAATACCCCTTCTTGAGTGAGCTGTACTAATATCTACATGATTATAGTAAGGAAAAAAGAAATAACTGTTATAGGCATAGTAAATGTTGTTGGTTTTCTTGTCACTCATGTGATACACATTTCCACAGTACACACAAACTTATATGAAGCAGATTATTTGTTTTGTTCATTATTTAGTTCCTATATGATTTTTCTTTAGAAACCGAGTCTCATTCTGTCACCCAGGCTGGAGTGCAATGGGGCAGTCATAGCTCACTGCAGCCTTGAACTCCTTGGCTCATGTGATCCTCCCATCTCAGCCTCCCAGAGCAAGTTAGAACTACAGGTACATGCTACTGTGCCTGACTAATTTTTTTGTAGAGATCAGGTTTCAGTTTGTTGCCCAGGCTGATCTTGATCTCCTGGTTTCAAGTGATCCTTCCACCTTGGCCTCCCAAAGTATTGAGATTACAGGCATGAGCATCTGGCCTAGTTCGTATACTTTTCTTAATTCTTCAGACTTCTCACATCTAGCATAGGGCATTCATTTCACCTTGCTGTTTATTAGCACCTTTTGTGGAAGGTGACTAAGAGAAATAAAAGGTGGTAAAATTCAGTTTTCAGTTTAGTTCTTGAAAGTTCTGGGAAATGGAGGAAACACAAAACTATGAAATAAACTAGGGCTGTCGATTTCTGAACCCCCCCAGATAAATGAGTTGGCCCACATGTTCATTTTGGGTATTAGGTTCAAATTAGTATATAGTCTTGCATTATTATTAGGTTTAGTGTGAAACTTTACAGTGCTACATTTGAAGTTTTAGTAACTGATTATTAAAATCATTTGGGAAAAATAAAAATGTGTTGAGACTTTCTGTGACTAGGCATTTGTTGTTTATTTTTCATGATCGCTTTTTGTTTTCTCATTGTGTAGGATTTGTGAACTTGTATATCATAGGAAACAAATATTTTGTAAAATTTATTGGGAAAAATCCATTTGGAATGCATGACACTTGCCAGGTTAAGAAAGCAGTAATACTACATTTGTATTATAAAATTAGACCCTGCCAGAAAGCTTATTTTTCTAGTAAGGTCTGTATAGAAGGGACTTTCAAAACGTAAATTGATTAGGAGCCAAAATTTTATCCCAGTTTTTTGACCTAAGAATGTTTTAAATTATGTAATGAACTTTTATGTGTACACATTACTCATGCATTTTTTCACAATGTGTTTAATTGCCTGAGGAAATGGGAAAGCTGTGAAACTACTCCCATTCTTTACTTTTAATAAGAAAAATAGGAAAGAAAAGTCAGGTCAGCAGTCCAAATCCAAATGTGTGTACTGTAACTGCTTAAGAATTAACTTTTTTTAAATAAATTGTATAGAGTACAGAAGAACATATGAATTTATTATGTTAATGACTTAGTTTTGACAACAGAATAAAATTTGGAAATTGTGAAAATAATCAAGCTGTTTTTCCATTAATAGTGAAAATTCTTAACATGTCTTTCAAAAGTTAGGTGATATTCTAAGCCGTCTTAATTGTCCATGGTTGATAATTTTTAAATCAAGTGCAGTACTTTCTGAAAGTGTTTGGCGTGTTTTGCTGCCAAAGCCATCTGTGTTTTGAAATACCAAGTAACCAGTTAATTTCTGAAGACTTTGTATAGGACTTGATATATGAGTCAGTATCTGTCTGTATTTGTTCTGTGCATTGTAACTTTGAACACTTATGAAAAACTGTATCTGTTGGTGTATTTTGATTAGTGTAGATTTGTTTGCATATTTGGATTCTGATTTTAATTTAGGAGGTCTAAAAGTAGCCATTTTTGTAAAGTTCATATGCTATTTTATAATGTCATTTTGGTTTTTAATATTTATATAATAGTAATGTTACTAGTAAAAATGTTTATAGACAACACATAGAGCTATTAACTGTTCAAAAGCCTACATGATAGGCATATTTTGTATTTCATGTTGCACTTGTTCTGTTTCATATTGGACTTCTTACATCCCTTTTTTAGGTAAAAAAAAGAGACATTGAATTCTCTTTAGCATAAAGCTGTGCATTGGAAATTATATGACTATCCATATGGTTAGCAAAATACTCTTTGCCACCAAAGCTAAACGAAACTGTAAAATACCTCTGGATATTTGTGCCAATGAACTTTTCTTAGTATATTGGGATTAAAGCAAAAATAATATTTTCAGTATGTTTAATCTAGGACTTACAATAAATGTTTGAACCATGAAAACTTATATTTCATACCCTAATTTTTCTTTGAAAATATTCAAGATTTGTAGCATAGTGTGTTCTATTTTGTGTGATTGCTTGAATGTTTTCTGATTTTATTGGGTAAAAGTTAGCCTGATCTTTCAGCAATTAGTTGAAATAATCATTTGAAGTAATCTTGCTTCAGATTTATTTTGTGATGTACATTAATTGTTGTACAAGCCACTTTAGTACAGGTGTCTCATTTATGTAGTTGAAAGTTGGCTGTGGAATTTCTTTTTTTTTTAATATATTTCCATTCAGTCTTTTATATAGTCACATGTTTCACAGGGGAAAATTGTCCACTGGAACCTAACATAGTACAATCTTTTAACATGCATATCTTAAATGAAAATATTATAAAACAAGATATTAATCCAAAAGTGTTACCATAAATATGTTGTACTCATGGAAAAGAGTAGAAAATATGATAGGCTCAGAAACTGCTGTTTTTAAAATCTGCATTAAATTCTCTGATTTCACCCCATAGAAATTCTAAGGAAATTTCAGTTCCTCCTATTACAGTTTTCCCCCAAATTTAATATTACTTACCATTTCTCTGCCCAGTAATGTTGATGCAGTTTGCATAAATAGCCTTGGAAATAAGGAGGCAGGAGAGAAAGCCAAATATTGAAATCTTTGGCCTTGATTTAGTGACGGTTTATTTTTCTAATGGGGACCACAGATGTTATTAGTAAAAAGATGATGTACAAGACCTAAATTCGGTGTACATTGTTCTTTGAAATGAGTTCGTCTTTTGTGTTAAATAATTTTATTCTAAGTAGGAGATGCCTGTATTTAACATAATCATGCTTTCTACATTATCAAATATGTATTTGTTGGAATACTGGTAGAAATACCCTTCCCCTTCTCTAGTGTGAAGTGGAAAAACTCCCAGTTTTTAGTGTATGTAAATTAGGAAATTATGTTACATAGTTACATTTTAAAAAATATTAAAAATGACAAAAATTACCTTGAAGTGATTGTATTACAGTTTCTTAAATTTATGACTGGCTATAAATGTAGCAACGTACCCATGAGAAACCAGACCAAAATTGAATATATAATCATCACTGTGACCTTGAACTTATAGTCATTTGGAATAAAACAGAGTGTGCCTTAATATGATAAAAGAATGCCCTGCAATTTTGTAACTGTACATTTTATTTTGGGTGGTCTTCTCAAATTGGCCCCAAATCCTCATCTTTGAGGTTGGTGAAATACAAGTTTAAAATAAAAGTTAACTGGTATTTCCTTAAATATTTGCAGAATTATTGTTCTAGAGGCCTCCCATAATTTTCAGAGTTCTCATTTTGAATTAAAATAGATTTACACTGCATAGATGTAGAAAATTAAGTTTGGCTAAGTTTTCTGAAAAAATATTCTAGGAGGAGGTGGTGGCATTGTTGTTCTGAACTTATTACACATGGGAAAACTAATCTTGAAATGTAATTTTTTGTCTTATGGATGAATCTGTCAAATACATGAATTCTTCTCCAACTTGTACTCATTCCTTCTTAAATTATTGAGGCTTGTACTTGTATATATCAAATGGGGTAATGTATACAATAATTTTTCAGTAATTAATAAGCTCATATTTATGTAGTTTATTTTAAAACATTATTTCCCCTCATACTTCCTTCTCTCTTTTCCTCCTGTTTATTTTTAAGGTATCAAGAGAAAATGGGCTTCAGCTTATAAATAAATGTAGACTTGCATTTTTACTGTGCTTATTTAAAATAATGGATATAATTTATATTAAATTCCAAATTATTTCATTAAAGGATAATCATAGTCTCTGATAAAAGATGCTCACATTTCTGTGTACTCACAGTTGTTACATATTTTTCAGTTTCAATTTTGAACATAAACTCAACAGATTACTTTCCCATTTTGCTTCCACTACCTCCCCACCAGACAAAAATATAGATTTCTCTAAAAATATATACAAAGAAAATGTTTTTTCTTAAAACATGATCATATTGACATGAAGGTAGTTTGAGCAAGGGTATGAAATAAAATATAATAAATGGCTCTCGACCTGCATGAATTTTTATACTGTAGTTAAAAATACATAGAGGACAACCTGTGGGTTATGCTGAGATAGACTCAGTAAGTAATCATTTATTTGCAAATTGATAGTTTTTTTCTCATCCATCCGGAAAGTACAGTGCAGCAACAATACTTAATTGCCAAGGAACCTGTCCTGTAGTATATACTAAAGAGTGATTGCCACCTTGCCAATCGTTCCATTTAAACATGCATGATCTCTAGTACTTTGTGCAAGGTATAGTATATTAAATACATTTATGTGTAATTTTTGTGTGTATTTTTATATGGCATAATACTATATTTATGTGGTTGTGATTCACAAAAAGTGCTACTTACTGTATTCTGTAGAGTGTGTTGTGAATGTTTTTACCTGTGTTTCAGCATTATGGTGTAGATTTAATAGTTGAATATTTGCCTTCAGTCTCCGCTCAGGTATTAATGTGTAGTAATTTTTGGTGCTTTCTTTTTAATCTGTCATAATCTGGTGTTCTGAATGTTCAAAAATAAATTTGGTTGAATAAGCACATGTGGTACCAAGATTGCTTACCAATTGACATACTTTCCACAATACCATCTTGGTAAAAACTCTTTAAAAAGGATTTATTTACATACCTAGCATTTTAGAAATTAGAATGCCTAAGCCTTGGACATGACACATTACAGGTAAACATTGGAAGCACGACAAGTAAATTACTGTATTTTTCCACTTTGTATTTTGTAGTTTTCTGCATTCATTTCTGTCGACATTTCAGGGGTTCACATTCTGTTTTAAGGAACTGTAGATATTTTTCTCCCAGACACCATGCTTTTTTACTTTTCTTATGCTAATTTGATGTATTCCTGATATGAGAAAATATTTTAAATGGTTCATTTTCAAGGCATAATAAATCTGAGTACTGGCAGCCAGGCTGCAGATGTAACAAACTGCATGGCTTATGCACCTAGAAGGTCACAATAAGTGAAGAGAATGTAGAGTAGGGGTCAGCCCATAAAAGGAAATAAAGTTTTGTTACTAGGAAATCGAAACGTAAGTGGGGAAAGGGTTGGGGTATAACCTTATAAGGAGGCTAATGAAACTTAGGCGACATCTGGGAAGATTATAACCTCATAGTACTCCACCAGTGAGGAACTGGGGGAAGGACTTGGGTGCTAGGAAAGAAATTACCTGTTGTGACTGCCCTGGGTGTGGCTACCCACCAGGCACCCAATCTTGCAAGACCATTATTACAAGTCTCACTTTGGCTGTTCTTTGTGCCTCTAAGTCCATTCTTTGGGTTAGAACTGGTGAGCATGTCCCTCACAACCTGATGACTTGTCCAGGATCTCTGTGCCTGCATGGAGTGGGAATCCAGCCAGGAGGGGATATGTGTCTCACCCAATTCAGGTGACCCACTCTGTCTGGGCATCCTGGCTACCTGCAGGAGCCATAGACAAATCCGAGACTGTTATCCAGGAGGCAGCAGAGGTGACCCAGGAAGAAAAGACGGTACCACAGCAACCAGGCCACCTCATGCACTAGCCAAGGTAGGAAAATTACACTGTGAGTACTGCCTTGGTGGTTGGGCATTTTTGGAGGTCCTGGAGTGTACAAGAAACCTCCAGTAAGTGAGGTTAAGTACACGGGAAAACTCAGACACAGAGACTGGCTGAAAATGGGAGATAGGAATTCTAGTCTAGGGAACAAAGGAAAGAGGGAGTCAAAGAGACTCCCTCTGACATTCCCCCAATAGTCCTTTGGGGAGAATGTTGCAGGTTTGGAGAGACAACCCTCAAATCAGAGACAAGGAAAAGCAAAAGATTATAATAAAGTATTGCTGTTTTATCTAGTCCAAAGATCCCATTTGTAAGACTTCGGTCTTTTTGCCTAAGTTTGGCTCAGATGAGGATTGGGTGTGCCAGGCTTTAATTTACTATGTGAATGATAAAACCCATCCCCACAAGAAGAAATAGGTTGCGCCTTCTGTTAGATTAAGAAATTTGCCCCCATGTTGCCCCTCGAAGAAGAAAGATAGCCTAGTAAAAAGCCCTTGCCGAGGGAAAAGTCCCGGGACCCGCTATCATGCTTTCCCCTTCATATGCCTCACAAAATAGGGGACAGGAAGATCAAGGGGCAGCAGGAGGGTGAGAGGAAAAAGACCTGGAGACCATGGGGGAACCAAACCAACTGCCCTTTTAAATCCTCCTACGAATTTAAGAAAATAATTAAAACAGTGTAAGAGGGATATTGAGAACTTACCTATCCCTTCCACAGAAGGCATCTAGCATGTTCCATCTTAGGGAAGTTCCTATGGGACTGGGAAAAATTGGCTTTATAAATGCTCCTCTTACAAGTACTGAAGTTAGGAATTTCAAGGAGCAAATGAAACCACTCCTACAAGATCTCCTCCATTTAGCAGACCAGTTTCTGGAACCCAGCTTTTACATCTGGGCTGAAATGTCTATCATGAATATCCTCTTCACAAGAAAAGAAGTGGGGAATGATTAGGAGTACTGTTCTTTGTGCCTATTAGTTTATTCTTTGGGTTTGGACAAGTGAACATGTTTCTCACACTGAATGCCCAGTTTCTCAACTTAGTAGGAATGAGGATGATTTAGACATTGTTTGTAAACAGATTTTCAGGTCACTGTAGAAATTTGATCTTTAAGGGAGGGACCTGGAATTCTTTTAACAAGTGCCCCAAAAGTAATTCTCAATCAAGTTGGGTGAACATTGCCTTAGTCAATAAAATTAACTTGCTAGGACTCCTAGAAACAACTAGGAATGCTGCTCTGAGAATTACAAGGTACCAAAAGAAACACTAAATAATTTGAGAGTTTTAATACAGATTCCCATTTTATTATAGAACATATGGGAGGAGTACAATGGGGTGTCATATTTTGAGGGATGAGTACCTTCTAAACTTTTAACCAGCATCATTAAATATATGAACATTTA